AGGAGTGAGTAAATCCAGCCCATGAGAGCTACAGCTACAGGTAATGACATAGAGATAGGGCTGCCCAAGTCCCTTACAGTACATCTCACCACAACTTGCTGGACATGGGACTACAAGACCTTCCCTGCTGGGCTTTGGTCTTGTTTGGTCCCATTGTTTTCTAACCTCCTTTTTCTCGCTATTGGAATGGGAATGTTTACCCTGTACCAATGTATGTTGGCAGTGTTTAATTTTTTGATTTTTACAGGGGCTCACAGCTAATAGTTTGCTTTGAGTCTCAGACTTTGGATTTGGACTTTTTGGAAATGCTGGAATGGTTAGGACTTTGGCAACTCTCAGGGATGGACAAATGCATTTTGTATAAAGGGATGCACATGAGTCTTCTGGGGTGGAATGTTATGGTTTGTATCTACATAGATGTCTCCCAAGAGTCTCATCACTTATAGGTGGGACTACTAGAGGGGCTCTTAGCTGACTTCCTAGTAGAAGGTGAGACAAGGAAGATGCAGGTGGTTGGAAGATGAAGGTCACTGGGGGTGTGGCCTGGAAGAGTTTATTTCTCTCCCAGAATTCTCCCTTGATCACTCTCTGTCTCCTGTCTCCCAAGCCATCAGGAGCTTTCCGCTGCCATGTGCCTCTGCCATGCCATTCTACCTAGAAGCCAGCCTAACAAGGACTGTAGATGTGAATCAAAGTAAACCTTCCCTCTTAACTTCCTAGGTGTTGGGTATTGTGTCTTGTTTACAAGACAGTGCCTAAGAAATGGGGAGATAAGACTGGTGGGGAGACCAGGCCAGGGAAGGATCACTGGTGGGAACTGGTACATAGTTGGGAACTAAGCAGAAAGGTTGAGACTTGATAGGTCTTTGGAGTTACTTCATGAGACATGATGATTAATTGTAGGGTGAGGAAAGGGGAGGGGAGCTAGAGGGGCAAGGTAGGGCTGGGGAGATGTCTTTGGTCTTGGTCTCAGCATCTGCCACCTGCTGGTGTTTTGCTTCCTGAGGGATCCTGTGTTCTGTTTTCTATATTAGTTATTTACTGCTGCGTCAAAAGTGACTCTTAAACTTAGTTGTTTAAAACAAATACAGAATTGTCATCACACATAGCAACCCTCCTCCACCCTGTACTGGGGATTACATTCAATGAACTTGAACTACATCCCCCCCCTTTTTTTTTTTTTTTTAGATTTTGAGACAGGGTCTAGCTAAGTTGCCCAGGCTGGCATCAAACTCACTATCCTTCTGCCTCAGCCTCTTGAGTAGCTGGGATGATAGGCTTATTCCACATGGTTTCCAAGAGTTAGGAATTCAGGAATAACTTGGCTGGGTGCTTCTGGTTCAGGGTCTCTTAGGAAGTTGAGTCAAGATGTTAGCCAAGGCTGTACTGTCTGAAGGCCTGCTGGGGCTGAAGATCCATGTCCACCTCCAGAGTGACAACTGGGTGCTGGCTAGTGGCAGGGACCTCAGTTCCTCACCACATATCCCTCTCCACAGGGCTGCCAGAGTGTCCTATAGCATGGTGCCCGGCTTCCCTCCGGGTGTTTGACCCAAGAAACCATAGCTGAATTCACAGTGCCTTTCATGTCTATGTCTCAGAAGCCACACACTGTCATTTCTATAGTATATGATTCTGCTAGATTTTTATCACTGTGACAAAATACCTGAGGTTGATTAACTTAAAGGAGGAAAGGGTTATTCTGGCTTATAGTTTCAGCCCTTGATCACTTGGCCCTGTTGCTCTGGGCCTGTGGTAGAATAGTATGTCATGATCGATGTACATGGCAGCAGAGGCCTGGAAACAGACACAAGGGGCCATGGTCCCCCTTTAAGGACATGCCCCCAATGACCTAACCTCCTCCCACCAGGCTGTACCTCCTAAAGATTCTACCACTCCCAGTGGCACCATGAGCTGGGGGCCACTGTTTAGCATGTGGGCCTTTGGGTGACATTCCAGATCCAAAGCATGGCACTGGCTGATTATGTGAATCAGGCCCTCAGTGTGCGAGAGGCGACAGAGGCAGAAGTAGCACCTCAGGGGCTGGCTGCCTTGGATTTCCTTTCTGTAGTACACTGACTGTCATTGACCTGGGGAGCGGGAGGCCAGCACAATGGGTGGCCAAGCTTCAAATGACAATAGGAGGGCTTCAGGTTAGACCAAGGATACTGCCCCGTGAGAGAAAACCTGTGCAAAGTGACCAAGAATGGAAAGGAGCTTTCTCTGGAAGAGACTCAGCAAGAAGGCCTCAGCTGAGGGCAGATGCGTCAGTGTGGATCGGCCATGCCTGATGTGCTGGGATCTGCCACCTGCGTTCAGTGTGCGAGGACGGCTTTTTCCCCTGTTTCTCACCATGTCACTGCCAACGACAAGTGGGTGCACTCAGCACCCTGTACTGATTGCCCAGTGACATTTCCATTTGTCCTCCACTCGTGGGTGATTGCCGAGTGTCCATCCACTGTGTGACAGGCAGGGATGCTCTGTATGGTCATGTCGGCCATGCACTGCCAAGGGTGCCTACCCAAGAGAGCATTGGAAGCAGCCCACGCTGTGCTCACTAACCCATGCATCTCGACACAAGGTTGGGTCTGTCCGGAGAAAGGACAGCTTCTCACCATTCCCACAAACAGTGCACACTAGTCCAGCTGTGGCTCATGGGGCTGGTCTCCTGAAGGGAGGCTTTCTTCTAATTTGCACAAAAATGTTTTGTGGTGTGTGGTCTCTGGGCCTGAAAAAGACACTGTCCTGGCTGCTGGTGATACGGTGTGAATGCCTCAGGCCATTCTCCCTTCGCTCCTGAGTCTAGTGGGGAGTTACCCTGTGACGACTTCAGACTATGACCTGTACAGGAAGGAAATGATCAGGGTCCTGGAAAGTATAATAGCAACCTACTTCAATTTGAGTGGCCAGGAGATGCCTTTAGAGATGGCTTTGAATGGACTCCCAGAGGATAAGGGGGACTCACACTAGTAGAGTATGAGGGCGAGGGGGAGTGTTCCAGGAAGCTGGAGCCAGAGATGCAAAGGGCCTGAGGTAGGAAGGGTCTTGTTGCACTCTGGCAGCTATAAGAAAGGTAGAAGTACGTGGGAGGAGGAAAACAGCTCTGGACACCATGGTGCCTGTGATGTCTAGACTGGTGTTGAAAGTCCCAGAGTGGATACTTAATATCCCTCTTTGGTTGAATATGGGATATTATAGGGGACTACAGCTTAGGAACAGGCTGAGAGCAAGATGATTAAATGAGGTAAATATAAACCCCGGGGGAGATCTTCTGTCAGGTTCAACTCAGCACATACTTATTGAGCCTCTGCTGTGTATTATCAGGTACTACTCTGAGATACAGAGAGGAGAGAGGAAGAGAGAATCACTTACTTGAAAGAGGGTAGGAAGCAAGATGGTGACAGAGGAAGTTGTGCAGACTGGAGGCAGTGAGGACTTTCCAAACTCAGGTCACGTGGCTGAGGCCTTCTCAATTCTATGTTCCCTGGAGCCAAAGAAGGCAAGGGTGGGGTGGGGAGAGAGGGGCGACCTCTGGAAGAGAGGGAGTTGCCATCTGGGGTGGGGTGGGGTGCCAAGCAAGTGGGAGAGACCAAAAGGCTGGCTGGCTGGGTATGACTAGGGGCTCAGGGGCACATCCTGGTGCGGTCAGGGTGGTGTCCCTGAGTGGGGCTGGGTGGCTACTGGGGTCAGGAAAGCCTTGCTCATCACTGGCTGAGTCATAGGCCGAAGTGGGGCCAGGACAAGGTCCTGAGAGAAGGTCTCAAGCTACGCCTGTGGCAAAAGTCACATCCCAGCCTCCAACCAGTCTGCCTGCTGCATCTCCCCCACTGGCATTCTCAAGGTCAGTGAGGCTTAGTGTGGGGGACCCGGAGCCGCTGGGCTGCTCCAGCCTGAATCTACACCTCTGTCTCCCCTGCAGCTCTCTGGTGAGATCAGGTCAGCTGGAAGCTGGATGGAGCGAGGCGCTGTAATTGGGAAGAAAGGGCAAGCTGGCCACTGCCCTGGGCTGGGGCTGCTAAGGTGTAGGGGTCAGAGTGGCTCCCCTTCTTTTCTGTCCAGGTTCTCTCACTGGTGAGAGACCCATCAACCTCAGCAGGTTCTAGGCAGCCGCCAAGGTCCAAATTTCCACAGAAACCAGCTCAGGAGACCCCTCACCCCAAGACAAGATGGGCTTGGACAAGACGGGCAGGGGTGTCGGGTGGGGAGGAAAGAGCTTGCAGCCAGATGCCTCAGAGGAGTTCCAGGGCCCTGGGGGTGGAGCGGCAGGGCTGGGGACATTCCAGGCTTTGGGAACCTGATAGGAAATTTGATTCCAGCTTCTGGTAGTGGGAGGAGGGAGCAAGTCGTGAGAGAGAGAGAGAGAAGAGAGAGAGTCTGTGTGCTCGCGCACGCGTGCACGCGCTCAAGTGTATGGAGTTTGTGTGCACGTCCATCTGGCTGTCTGTGTCGGGCTGGACTCTGAAGGTCTCCCATGAAATGGTGTGTGTTGGTGGCCTGGGTCAGGGGGTCTCCTTGGCATCTCTGTGTACCCGGCGTAGTCTGGGGGAGAGATCCCCGGTGAGTGTGTGTGTGTGTGTGTGTGTGTGTGTGTTTGTAAGCGTGAGCGCGATGTGTCTCATGCAGAGGTCCGCGGGTGCTGTCTGCCGCCTGCCCGCGGTGTGGTTAGGAAAGACCCCTTGGTTGCTTGGCGGGGCCGGCAGGGAGCTGGGTCCCGGCTACCTCTTGCCCTTGGCGGGGCTCCAGCGGAGCGGCCCCTGTGCTCCCTGCGCCTCCCATTTCCCCGCGCGCCCCGAGGGTCCGCAGGCCCCCGGCAGCCGCTCCCCTCCGCCGCCTCCCTCCCTCTCTCCCTCCTCCTTCCTCCCTCCCTCCCTCCTTCCCTCTTTCCCTCCTTTCCCCCTTTTCCCTCCCGAGCGCTGATCACGGGCGGGGTGGGAGGAGATTTCGCCGGAGTTTCCATTTCATACCTCGAGGCTAAAACTTTCTTTCTGTCTCGCCCCTTGTAGCTTGCAGCTTCTCCTGTCATCGGAAATGCCAGGCCAAGGTAAGGGGCGGCGGGCCGGCGGGCCCTGCTGGGGACTTGGGGATGCGCCTGGCCCAGGGTCCGGAGACTGGCGGGTCGGGGGTGGTGCCCGGATTGTCCCTCCTCCTCTCTTTGTTTATGCAAAGCGCCTGGGCTTGGGAGCGGGCTCGGGTCAAGGTGAAGGCGAAGGCCCGGGGCGGGGGGCGGGGAGGCGGTCGTGGGGGTCCGGGTGGTGGCTCGGCAGGCGGCCACTGGAGGGGCTGGCGGGAGCTGCTCTGAGGAAGGGGCCTCGGAGGTGTTTCCCCTGGTTCTCTAGTGGGAGTGGGGGTAGGGGCGAGTGCAATGCATTCAAGGACCCCGCTGGCCTCGAAGAGCCCTGGTTGGCACAATTTGGCCAGACTGGGAAGCTCAGAGGCCACAGCCAAAGGCCCTGGAGTGCTGGAGGCGGGAAATATGGGGAGTGGCGGAGGCAGGGAGGAGGATGGAGGTCAGGATCACGCTGGATCTCCGAGGCCACGGCGCTGCTGCTCCGTCTCTCTATTGGCCAGGCCCCATTTTGGTCCTCAGTTTCCGCAGCAGTGTTTGCAGGCCGGTCTTGGTGGGACAGGGAAACTGAGGCAAGAAGACTTCAGGGGGTGCTGGCTCTTGGTCACCCAGATCCTCTTAGGCTTGGACAGAGGAATGATTCCTTAACTTCCTGGAGTTGTGAGGGTGAGGGGTAACCCGGGGTGGATTCTGGGTCTGGGGAGGAGACTGGCCTGTGGAGGGGACTCAGCTCTCCCTCCAGTAGGCCCAGACTCTCTTTCCTTTCCCAGGGAGCAGATGCCTGCACCCACTCCCCTCCCTGCCCTTCCACCTACTCCACTATTCACACTTGACCTGTCTGAATCGGGGATGGAAGGAGGAGGGCAAATGCTTCCCGAGGGGGCACTGCACAGTGGGGGCCAACATCCGGCACATCTCATGCTCCGCTTCTCGTAGCTGTGTGACTTCAGGCAGCGCATGCGCCTCTCCAAGCCTCGAGCATGTGGCAGTAAGAAGCCTACCTCAAAAGGCTGCCCTGGGCATTCAGAGATGAGGGGTGTGACGTGCTCAGCTGAGGGCCTGGCCCGTGCATGGTCAGTGCTCAGAGACACGGTGCCGAGCACTGCTGGGTCCCGCTGGGGAGGGTGCCGAGGAGCAGCAGATCTGGAAGGGGTCTGGAGAGGTCTTGCGCAGGCTGTGAGCTCTCCTTGTTGGGGGCGTCTCCCCACTGTCGAGTCTAGGTGTCATGCCCGCCTGGCTCACGGGGGTCCATCGTTAGTGGGGGACTTTCTGATGCACCTTATCTTTGGGTGGGGCATTTCTGCTTTTCCTGCACTGCCCCCCCTGTTCGGTTCATCTGGAGCTGAGGTTTCCACTCTTCCTCCTAGAACCTCCTAAATCTCTTGATCCTCTCTGGGCCCACCCTTCTCCCCTCCCTTCCTACACCTGTGTCTTGGTAACAGTGAATATTTGCACAACACTTTAGGCCCCAGCATTTCACATCCACTACAGGTTCTATACTTTTAATTCCACTACAGCGTAAAACATAGGCCAAAGGATTATGTTGTCTTACAGATGGGGAAACTGAGATACCAAAAGATTTTTGTGACTTTTATTCTCCATCTCTTAGCAGAGAGCGGATAGGGGTGAACTGATTGGCAGTGAAGGGTCTGAGCGGAAGGAATAGATGGCCCAGAGAGGCCAGAGAAGGTGACGGAGATGGCCCTTGTGCAGCAGCCCGTGCATGAAGACACATGGTGGAGCCTGGCTGGCCATGTGCACACACACTGAGGATGTGCCACTCCTGCCGAGGATGCCAACCAAGGGGAGCAGGCAGGCTGGCAGGGCAGTGGCCAAAGGCATGGGGCTTTTTATAGGATTTTCCTCCATAGGAAATGGGCCCATTGGCCATGTGTGCCCCACCCAGCTGGCAAGTCTTTCCCGAAAGCACAGCTCCTGCTGCTGCCCTGCCTTTTCCTCCTGCTGGGCAGGGCAGTGGGGGCCTAGAGCACACAGAGGAGCTCTGTCCTCCGGATTTTCTAATCAGATTGACTTGGGGGTCATCTTGTCCAACCCCTGCTTCTAGGCAGGCTTCCTTAAACAGCCGTTTGTTAAGCTCCTTCCATGTGTGGGACACTGCTTGAAGGGAGTAAGGCAGACAAGACATTTGTCTTCATGGGGCTTATGTTCTAATAGGGAGACAGGCAATAAATGTGCAGAGCAGTTAAGAAGGCGCTAACTGGAGTAGTGGGTCAGAGAGATTAAGCTAGGGCAGCTTGGGAGGACTTCTTGGAGAAAGTGCTGTGTGCATTGGGACCCAAGTGATATCATATGGTGATGTAGCGGGTGGAAAGAGCAAGCACAGAGGCCCTGAGGTTGTATGAACTTGTTATCCTTGAAAGAAGGCTTTGTGGCTAGGAAGCAGTGTTCACTGTGGCTGGGATGTTGGAGGGGGTGAGAGAATGGGCTCAAGGATGGTCCTGGGGTTTGGCCAATGCCTAGGGTCATGATGTGGTTTCATTTACTGAGGTAGGTGAGGTGTGGGACAAACTCCGTGGGGCCTTCTTGGTCTCTTCTCCCCACTTCTCCCACACACTGGGGATTGTACTGTTTCCAGTTCAGTATACTGCAGCCACCCCTATTGTGAACAGCTGATTCTTCACGCTTCAACATGCCACTTTCCAGATTATTCTGTAGCGTGAGCCATGCTCTGATGGGCTGTGGTGTGTATACCAGTCTGAGGTAACAAATCCCTCTCCAGATTTGTACTTCAGAGCAACAACAAATATTTCCAATCTCATACCAGTTTCTGAGGTCAGGGCTGTGGGAGGGGTTTAGCTGGCTGGCTCTGTACAGGGCCTCTCTTTGGGTGACTGGCAGGAGATGGCTGGTGACTGTAGTCTTCTGAAGGCCAGCTAGGATTGGGGAATCCCTGTCAAGGTGGCCCTTTTATGTGACTGGCAAACTGGGGCTGACTCTTTTTTGTTTGTTTATTTGAGACAAGGTCTTGCTATATAATTTAGATTGGCCTTGAACTCACTGTGTAGCCTTGGTTGGCCTCGAGTTCATAGCAATCCTTCTGCCTCATTCTCCCGAGTGCTGGGATTATAGGCATGCACCACCATGCCAGGCCTGGGGCTGACTCTTGGCAGGAAGGCACTTGGACTTCTTTCGAGGGCTGCTTGACTGTCCTTCCAACATGGCGGCTAGTTTCCCAGGCGTTAGTGAGCAAGGCAGATGTGTTGGAAGGCATACACTGATATTACTACAGTATCCTGCTGGGGCACAGGTCAGTCCTGTTCGGTGTGGAAGGAGCCTACATAAGGGCGTGTGTATCCCAGGAGGCAAGAACAATGAGGGCCGTCTTGGAGACCAACCACCACAGATGCCATGAGGGGCTACTCTGACCCAGCCCCGGGGAGGCCATGGGAGTGGCAGGAAGGGCCGGGATGTAGGATTCAGACACCTGGGTTTGTACTCTGTCCCTGCTGCCTTCTAGATGGCTTGTAGATGATTAAATGCCCATTGGAATGTAGTGGGCATCTTTCTCTCTTCTCAGAGCTAGAGGCCAAGGCTGGAAAGGAGCCCAGATATTCTGTGCCCAGGTCTTTGCCATTTAGACCAGGCTGAGACAAAGATGCTCATGCTGGGAGAGGAGGGGCTTCCGGGCCTGGCTCAGAGCAGATGTTATATACATCTCAATTGGCCCAAGGAAGGCTGAGAGATGGGGTCCTCACCAGAGCGGCTGACCCTGTCAGGGCTGCCCAGAAAGGACTAGAATGGAGGAATAAAGAACATGTTGTGGCTGGGTGTGGTGGTGTAAACCTGTAATCTCCATACTGGGGCGGCTGAGGTGGGAGGCTCACCATGAGTTTGAGGCCTACCTGGGCTACATAGAGTTCAAGGACAACCTGCAGTGCATAGTGGATCCTGTATCAAAAAACACCAACAAATAAAAAAATATCCGAGAGGCTGAGGTGAGGGGTGGAGGGGAGCAGGAAAGAAATAGCAGCAGTATCATTTGTTCATTCTCCTCTCTTGCCCCTGGTCATGGAGGGCTCTGCAAATAATAATGAATTGTAAGCGTTTACATTTTTCTGGTTGGGGCATAACTCACATACCGTCAAGTATGCAAAACTCAAATGCACAGCTTGATGGGCTTGTACACAGATGTGAACCGGATCAAGTTCTAGAACAAAAACAGCCTGTGCCCCAGAAACAGCCCTTCTGATCCCCCGCAAGTGGATATCCCCCAAAGGTCATTGCTGTTCCCATTCACGCCATTGGAGGAGTGCTTTACCTTCCTTGAACTTTATATAAATTGAATCACACAGTGTGTTTGCTTTTGCGTCTGGCTTGAGTCGCTCAACGTGATGGCTGGGAGGTGCGTCTATGTTCTTGCAGGTCATGGCCGTTGTTCTTTTTTATTGCTGTGTTGTCTTCTATGATGTGAGTAAACCACAGTGTATGTATCTATTGCTCTGCTGGTTGCCATTTGGGCTTTTCAGTTCAGGGCTATTAGGAGCAAATCTGCTGTGACCATTCAATCACCTATGGCTCCACTGAACTCGGTAACTAATGCGAGGGATGTTTTCCTTCATCCTCTCAGCTCTGGGAGGTGGGTGGGCTCACGGCAGACTCATTTTACAGGTGGTGAATGGCCACTTTTACACGATTCTGGCACTGCCCTGAATGGGTAACGAGGAGCCAGGGAAGAGGGGGAATGGGGAACAGAGAGGGACCCTCCAGAGCAGGGACTGGCTGTGGTGTTGGCTCTGAGGGTAGTCTTGGAAACCACAGTCTCCAGCTTTTGCCCTAAGTCCCCTGAAAGAAGCAGAGCTAAGCCTCCCTCTGTCCCCACCCCCGCATCTTCCCGTCCTTATCTGGCCATGATTATTTCTCCCCGGTGAGGATTAAAGTGAATGGCCCCGGCTTTGCCTGCCTCTTTTATTTGAGCACATGCCCAGTGTACATATACGCAGCACATGTTTCTGTTT